ATCCACGCTTTATCTGCTTTAAAGTGGGACAAAATCCAGTTACTAGTTCTAGCTACGCTGAACCAGTTAAACAGGGGGGTAGCAAGACAATTTCATGTGGGGTGGAGCAGAGATAAACATTGGAGGAAGAACAGATGAGTTGGGCATTAGGCACTATAAAAAATATTTCTATGGGAAAAGGTTTTCATAGGTAACAACAACAATAATCTGCAACAAATTTTAATTAGAAAGTCAGTTGTGAAGCTTCCAAAAATGTAAATCAATGTAAAAATATAAAATTTGCCACATGCAAAATAGTTGTGTAAACTAAATAACAGTGACTAGGATGTATATGTATATTGTGCAAATCATCCAACTATAATGGTTAGAACTCTTAACAAAGTCTAATGCACTGTGATTTATCTGCAGACTTGCAGAGAAACTCTTCACTTGAAATTCCTTCAAATAGGTTACTTTCAAAATCCATGATTACTAAGGGGCTATAAAGACGGACCTCTGTGCCACACCTGGGAGTGTTGGATCAGGGTCGTGGCAACTGCACGCCGTGGCCCTGATCCAGCACTTTGCTGCTCCAAAAAGAGCTGGCAAATGCTGCTCCTTTTTGGAGCAGCAAAAGGCTCCCTTACCACTGCAGCGGTGGCTCTTCTGAGCTCCTTTGTCTGTACACTATGCAAAGGGAGTGCCCTGATATCACACGCTGTGCGGTGGGGCGTGGGGCGTGACAGTGGCATCGGGGCAGAGTTGGGGTGGCTGGTGTGCGATCACCACATCCCAACTCCACCCCCAGGGTGGCTTTTTTGGCTGGTCTGTACAGGCCCTGAATCTCCTTTTTTATGATGAAACACCAAACACTTATATGGTGTCAGCTCCTGTGTCAAAATTGAGAATGAATTTTTACACACAGCTATAGACACACCAAAGGTGGGTCTTGTAGCTTACAAAAATCTACATGTGTGGGAATAGTTCCTTGTACATATACAAAATATTAATAAGTGTGTGAAGTATTAGTATTGGGTTTTGGATAATACTACCAAATCCTTTTCTTTGGATGCCTGAACTGTGTTTCTAAATGCTTAACTGACATTTTAAATTACTGAAATTGTATATATTTGAGGTGTGTGTTTGTATGTGCCTTCAGATCTCCTGTTGACTTATGGTGACCCCATTAATTTCATAGGGTTTTCTTAGGCAAGGAATACTCAGTTCCTTCCTCTAAAATCTAGCCTGCAGCATGTGGTATTCATTGGTGGTCTTCCATCCAAGTACTAACCAGGGCTGAGTTTGCTTAGCTTCCAAAATCAGATGGGATCTGGTGCTTCATGGGGCAGGGGATAGAATTATTATTACTAAAGCACTCCTGAAAGATGTCCATATAACCTGTGTATAAAGCCCCCCAAAGAAGTAGAGTCCACTAACCTCTAAGGTAGTCTATTCTACTGCCAAACAAGTCCTACAATAAAGAAGTTCTTCCTAATGCTTAGGTGGAATCTCTTTTCTTGTAATTTGAATCCATCATGTTCTAGTTTCTGGAGCAGCAGAAAACAAGATTGCTCCATCTTCTACATGGCATCTCTTCAGATGTTTTTCAGGTGTGCTGGATGTGCTATCCCTTTGACAATACTGAAATAAAATTCAACTACCAATCTGGTAAATTGCTGAACATGGAATGGAGAAAGGCAGCATTTTATCCTTCACCTCAGGCATCACTATATTTTAGGCCTACTTTAGGGATTTAACTCTCAGGCAACTTGCCCCTGCATAGGCAGATGCTGAACAAGGCCTCCTCTCCAGAGCATTTGGGACATTTCACTCACATAAGAGGTGAAAAAGACAGACAGAGAGTCCTCAAATGCATCCAGAATTGTGAGATCCTCCTAATCTTCTCCTGCTTTATCAGAATGTTTTCTGAGAGAGATAGTTAACCTTTCTAAGAAACAGACCATAAAATGTCTGGTAAGTCTTGCTCAACTCTGCATCTTTAAAATAGCCACGGTACAAATCATAACATATAAAGAACACAGGAGATAAGAAGGAAACTGCTGAGCTTTCCAAGAATGTCAGCTGGTGAAATGTGAAAACACGATGGGAGAACAGTTAAAACAAGGGAACAAAAGAGGTATATTTCCAGAACAACCTTATCCCACTTTTCCCCAGTGGAGTTAATGGATGAAATGTTGGCCCTAATCTTACAAATAGGAGAGTTACCATGTCCTCACAAACTTGATATGGGATTAGGATCCAGGGAAGTGGTATGCAGAGCAGAATAATAAACAGGCAAGGAAGAAAGCCAAATAAAGAAAGAGAAATAGGGCTGAGTAGAGGGGAGAAAGGCATATCCCCCACTGCAGGATGTTGCCAGAACAGTTGCCAGGGCTTGGAAAGGTTACTTTTTTGGACTACAACTCCAATAATTCCTCAGCTAGCATGGCCATTGGCTTTTCCAACCTTAGAGTATTGGAAATCAGATTTGGGAAATAAATATACAACTTCTAAATCAACTAGTAGACAATCAGAACCCATAAATACCCCAAATACATGTAGAAAGCAAATAAAATTCTAGAATGCCCCAGACCTTCTATAATGGTTGTCTAAAGTTTCTTTCCATGAACACTTTTGTTAATCATAGGAGCTTGCAGCTTTGTTATTTATTTCTGAAGATAAAATTCTACCTTTACTTAACTCTCCAACTAGATGACCTCTAGACCAGCAGAGTGTTCAGTGGTAGGTTTAGACAGCCAATTCTTTCTCTTATCCATTCCACCACCACCACCTGCAAAGCACACATAAGCATTAGATTACAAAACCTTAATCTTTAACATCTTATGAGTTTAAGAAGAGTGCTTGCCTTGCTTCAGTAGGCTTGCATGCTGGTGCACTTGGATCACAACTTTGGTGAAAGGATGCACTGTCCCTCCTTCTAGTCACCATATCTTCCAGTTAGGCCTTCGTTCCAGGCAGAGAAAGTTAGATCAAGGGAGGGAGTGGTGCCTTGTCCAGATCACAGAGCTTCACAGTCTGCTCTTCCCATATAAAAGCACAGAAGGATAGGTGTCTCCAGATTCTTTTATAGGGCATTTTCCCTCTTCAGTCTTTTGAGATTGCAAGATGATGACCATTCATTCTGTCCTTATTCTTCTGCATCCAGGTGAAATTAGCCCAACATTGTTTCCAACTTGCAAATTGTTCAATTTTCTTGTGATTAAAGTTCAGGATTTCTGTAATCACCTGTTGTTCTATGAACACTATGGACTGTGTTTCTAAATGCTCAGCCTTAAATTTCTTTAAACTATTGATTTCTCTTAGATCATGGAAAATTTACATTTTAGAGTAAAATTCTCAGAATCTCCCACCTATGTTGGCTACTAGATTTTGGAAGATGTAGTACATGAGGCACTGTCCCAGGGTCTGGCCTAAGAGGTCCAAATCAAGTCAATTTGCATGGGAATTCACAAAGTTCAAATTCCTCAAGCATCTCAACTTTTGAATCCCTGCCTATCAGGTTTTCCACACTAGCTACAGCGGATCCTACTCCTCCACTGCATCTCCATGGGTAAGGATTGTCTCATTGACCATGAAGAACAAATCCCTCCTTGTTCCTCAGCAAGTTCCATCCTCAAGTATCTAAGCTTCAGGTGTGGTCACCTACAAGGAAAACTCTACATGTAGGTTGCAAACAATCAGATATTTATGCAATCAGGTATACTGCTTGAGCTAAGTTTCTGTGCACAAGATCACACATAGGCATGTCTTTCAGATGACTGTGCAAGATAAATTTGGAGGGTGAGTGTTGCTTGGATAATTGAGAGTCCCACTTCTGTTCACCATGCAAGTGCCCTACACCTGGGTAACACATAGATAGGGCTAAAGCAGGGGTGAACAAGATGTTGTGGCAGTTCATCTCCCATTATCGCTTGCTGTTGGCTATGCTGACAAGGGTTGATAGGGGTCAGAAGTCCAACATCATCTAGAAGTCCACAAGCATCCCTGGGTTAAAGTGTCATTCAATCAGAAAGCCTGAAATAAGTTAATTGATGCATAGTATTATTATAACAAAATGAAATAGTTCAGTATTTGCATCAAATAAAGAGGCATAAATTAAAGGCAAGCAACTTTCAGAAACTTAATAAGATATTTCATTGGACGATGACTGTACTGGAGCAATAGAGCAAACAGAAAGCATTTGAATAATCAGACTATAGATGATACCATATGAGTTCAAAAAGGCATGTCATAAGAAGCCAAGATAAATTTTCTTATAAAATGCCATTAAACAGGAGGCATGAAAGAAGGCTGAATGCAAATTAATTCCAGACAGTCAAAACATTATTATATAACTCCATCTCAATAAGGACTCTAGGATCAAAACGTGGAATGTACCAAGTTAAGAGATACACCAAATATAACTCTGTGGACACAATCTAGACAGTTAGGCATTTAGAAGTCAAACCCAGTTAATGGAAAAATTAAAATTCCTACTTAAAACTCATTGAAATCAGTTTGGTTTCACTGCAGCATTAAGTCTCAGATATTAAAACACACCTTTAATATCAGATGCATAAGCCATGACCAAATCAGGAAATGAAAACAACAAAAATAACAAAAAAAATGTGTATAATAACATCAGGTTATAGCAAACCATGGAAATGGCTGAACATAATCATTAAAACTTTCAGATGACTAGTAACATCTTATTGAAATTCATCAATTTTATCAACTTTGAAATTTTCCATTTTATGTAGCAATCTTAAAAAGATTGTAGCATTTCATTTTCTAGTCAGTTGTGTTTGGCAATCTGAGTGTGCAACACATTTCAGTTCATTTTGCTCCAATACAGTGACTGTGTACCCTTAGGGGAAAATGGGATTCTGCCTCTTATATCCTTCTTGATTGTTGTTATTGTTGTGTGCCTTCAAGTCATTTCTGACTTATGGTGACCCTGTCATGGGGTTTTCTGGGGCTGAGAGTGTGTGACTCATCCAAGGTCATTCAATGTGTTTCCATGGCTGAGCAGGGAATCGAACCCTAGTCTCCAGAGTGGTAGTTCAATGCTCAGACCACCACACCACACAGGCATTATGTTTCCGCAAATCAGCAGATTATTAAATCAATTTTATAGCCTAGGAAACTTAGGAAAGATCACACCATTTATTATATTTGAGGGTTTCTTGCACTCACATATAGTAAAAAGGCTTTTGCTAACCACACACAGAGTTTCTTTCTGTTTTGCATAAGCTCCCAGAATGCCATGGACCTAATATTCAAGTTGCCAGCAATCCTCTCAATAGACTAGCTTCAGCCAGATCTAACAAAACCTTCCCCCTTTCTCTCCCTCCCTCTCTTTGTGGAAACTTTTAAATGGCTTGTGGACCTCATGGGAAAGAGTACTGACTCTGTAATTCTGAACAATGAATTTTTGGAGGCAGTACCATTTTAGTAAAAAAAAAAAAAAATCCCCAGCAGATTTCATGTCCTTGGCTAGATGACCTCAACCAAGACCAATAAAGCTAAACAAGCAAACACAAAGACAAGAACTGATCATAATTGAAGAGCTGGTTAGAGTTTGGCTTGCTGGACTGATTATTAAAGTTATTATTGGATTAATTGCATTTGCTCTTCTTGAACTATTTTAATTACCCACATAACCAACGACCCATTGTGCAATTTTGGCCCCAAAGCTAGAACTAGATCTGATGGAAGTAGCGGTGATAGCGGTGAGTTTGCCAGAAGCAGTGGCCTCACATCTTTTCCTGGCTTCCAGCAGAAATCTAGTAAAACAAAATGCCTTGGCTTTGCTGTAGCAAGTTCCCCTTTCACTGTAAGCAGCAGACAATAAAGTGGGTGTTGGTGCATGGCAATGTAATGTGTCCCTTGTTTTCTTTTATTATTCATTCCAAAACAGGAGGGAGGGGGGAAATCACAAGATTGGAATTTGGAGTAGTCCTGGTCTGTGATAGGATTCTCTTTTAGTTGTGTGTTAAGACCGTCATTCCTTATTTCTTTGCTTCATTGGTTAAGCTCTACATTAGACCTGATTTTACTTTCTGACATCTCAAAGATGCAGTGACTACAGGACACAAGGCATGAGGAAGAGGGACACCTTCATGGCAATGACAGCTCTACACCCAAAGCCACTCATGATATGGTGATAAAGATGGTTTAATGACAAAGATGGGTCCATAAATAATAAGCTTATTGCACCAGTACCTGTAACGTTCCCACTGAGTCCTTGGAATGTAATGATATGGGAACGGGTATTACCACGTTAGACTATTGATAATGGGATAGTAATGTTATGAGAACATATATTATCGCACTGAATTTACTGTTGTACTTGTACCGGTGCTAAAGTAGTTCCTCAGTCGTCCCTCATTGGCGCATGCTCACTGTTGCAAAAACCCCTATGTCTGAATTGGAAAGAATGCTACCAAGAGGTTTTGGTAGTGAACATTCATTGTTTTTTGTTGTAAACATGATGCAATTCAATCTACAAAAATAAAAAAATATTTTTTAAATTACCTGTGGCACCTTCCTTGTGTCAACACCAGAAGAGTTGAGTTGAGTTTGTGGACGTTCTCAGATGGGAGGGGAGGAGATTTTCTTAGTCAATCAGAACATGAGGACAGATTGAGACCGGGTAGGATTATCACACACACATCATATTGAATGGTTTGTAAGCGTTCTTCTGGCTGAGGACGCATTTTTACAGTTTTCCTCATGGAATGGGCTAGGGACTGTCAGAGCACAGAATGGGAACTCGATGAGGATCATACCATGCGATAAAATATGTTCCATTCCGTTCACATTACGTATCCATTACGTTACGAGAACACAGTGCGATAAGCTTATAACCAATCAATCAATCTTTATTACGGCCATTTGGCCAGCACAGATAAGCTTATAACTACAGCACAGTTGAGGACAGAGGATAGTTTTCCAGAGATATAAACTATATGCGCTGTAATTCATATATGAAAGCTGCTGATACTTATAGGTATATATGTATACCTATATACCTATATAGCTGTATATCTATATATCACATATATAGATATATGTTCACCCTCTGCCCTTTCAATGATGGCCTTTTAAGCACAAAGTACACAACAGAATGGAGATTCATCTGTTTATTTTTGCAAAAACTACTGCTCCTGTGCTTCCAACTTGGATCAGAACTCTGCCTATAAGGTAAACTATTTCTCCAGAGAAAATAATGCAACCTCCCTTCTGCAACTCACTCTCTTTCTCTGTGTGTGTTTTCATTGGGAAATGGCACATGATTTGTGCAGAGAATTTCTCCTTTCCCCAGTGTTTTTGTCTTTAGTCTCTTATCAAGTTTTTGCCCTTTGTTAAACAGGATTGGCACAGGGTGACCAGATTTCATAACTGCAAAGGAGGACAAGGCACTGCAAAATGTAGGACATTAAAGAAAAATGTAAGAAAAATTACCTAATAAAAGCTGAAAACACTAATATAAATATAAATTCATGTTTCTTCATCATGCTTAAAATGCAAAACATTTTGGAATTCTTTATGGATAGAAGGTTGAAATGTAGGACATGTCCCAGAAAAAGAAGGCATCTGCTCACCCTGAACTGGCATGTTCTTGTTGTGCTTAAAAACCCTGCAAAATTTCTTTGAGCAGAGACCAAGAAGGGACAAGAAACAAATATATATGTGTGTGTGCACCCACAAGCAGTGCTAAATCTGTGGTACTACAGTCAAGTCTCTGGGAACCCTCTCCTCCAGTTTCCTTTGTGCAGCCATTTAAATATTAGATAATTCATGAAAAGATTTATTGCAAATAACATCTTAAATAATGTGATCTTTGTAAGTATAGAAGCTAAGAAAAAGATAAGCCAGATTTTTAAAGTCTTAAAAACGGGCAATGTTATACTGCAGGAAAATGTCAAAAATAGCAAATCTGCCATTGTAGAATATACTCTGAGGCCAGATATGTGTGGTGCTATGTTGTTGTTTTGTTTTATTTTATTTTGTTTTATTTTATTTTATTTTATCCCACCTTTCTCCCAATATATGTCAATCAGATATCAGTCTGATAAAGCTGAGGCCTCCATACACTTGCACAGATGACAAAACCATTGACAGATATAGCTGCTCCATGGAAAAAACTAAAGCAATTTTGTAGGAAATCTTTATGAGCCATGGAAAGCTGTATTAAAGATATTGCACCCCCCCCTGCTTTATTGCTGTAAACTTGAAACAATGCTTTATTGCAAAATCCTGAGGTTTTTAGTTTGGAGAGGTACTATAACTGGCTGAGAATTCTAGGGCTGCAGCTACACTGCACAATTCATTTTTTGACACCACTTGAATTGCTATGGCTTAGTGCTATGGAATTCTGGGATTTGTAGATTTGTAAGCTATTTAGCCTTCTCTGTGAGAGAGCTCTGGTGCCACAACCAACTACAAATCCCAGGATTCCATAGGATGGCACCATGACAATTAAAGTGGTATAAAACTGCATTCATTTTGCAGTGTGGCACCAGCATTGGTTTCCCTGCCTAAAATGCAAATCCCAGGTTTTTATAATAGGTAGCCATGGCAGGTAAAGTGCAATCATAGTGCTATAGTTGTGTGATGTGATGGCTAAATGCAACTTTTTTTTTTTTTAAAGATGGAGATAAAGCATGTATGAATACATAGGATATATTACAGCTTGGACCAAACATAATCTCTGCTTCTGATGCAATTCTTTAGGTGTAGGAAAACCAAAGAAAGAGTGGGCAGATGGCATAATAATGTAATTTTTTAATTGTTCTGTCTAGTAATATGAAATACCACATTCCTTTAAATGTTAAAGCTTAAATCCAGTTTAAGGTTAGTATGATAGTGGGATGCCAATTGTTACTCTGCCCCAAGTAGCAAATTCTTGAGTGGATCTTACTCAAAACTACCAAAGGGGACAACAGCTGTTGCTTGTCTATGTGTCTGCTGCAATCATTACAAAAAAGACAGCTTCACACCATAAGAGCAACCTGGTGTCCCTCTTTTAGTAGATGTGGCATAATTTGATCATTAGGTGGTTGCTCTCTGAAGCAAAACTGTGATTACTATTGCATGTAGAGAGATCTTGTAGCACCTTTGAGACTAACTGGAAGAAAGAAGTTGGCAGCATGAGCTTTCGTAGACTTCATTTTACTTCTTCAGAGGTGGTGACTACCAATGAAGAGGGTGTGAGGTAAAAAATCAGGTAAGATGGTGTTGTTGGATGAAGATTTTAGTTGTGGGAGAGGGGTGTTGTGTTGGGAGAGAGACATAAATGTCTAGCATTTACACATGCTGTGTATCATTTTAAGGAGTAATCCTCTCTGAGCTGAAGGAGAATGATAACAACATGAGCATATGGGTCTGGCCTTGGGAATGGAGATCTGTTCCATATGCCTACCACATCCAAAGGCTAAAAATAATAAGGAAAACCTCACTGCTGACTCATCTGATAGTAATAGTGCCACTCTATTCTGCTTTGGT